AGAGCAGGGAGGAAGAGCAGGAAGAAAAGATTAACATTAAACAGAGACATGAGGTGGGAGGGAAAGGGAGAGAAAGGGGGAATTGCATGGAAATGGAGAGAGATCTTCATTGTTATACAAAATTACATATTAGAGGTTGTGAGGGGAATAGGAAAATAAACAAGGAGAGAAATGAATTACAGTAGATGGGACAGAAAGAGAAGATGGGAGGGGAGGGGAGGGGAGATAGTAGAGGATAGGAAAGGTAGCAGAATACAACAGTTACTAGTATGGCATCATGTAAAAATGTGGATGTGTAACCGATGTGATTCTGCAATCTGTATTTGGGGTAAAAATGGGAGTTCATAACTCACTTGAAGCTAATGCATGAAATATGATATGTCAAGAGCTTTGTAAGGTTTTGAACAATCATGAAAAGAGTAACACATCTCCATGAAAAGAGTAACACAAAATTTTATATATCTTATTGATAAAAGGTTCCCTTTATCCAATTACAGAACATTAAATGACATAAATACACCCCCAATTAAATTTTGTGTTGGAGAAACCAGCTTGGTAAAGTATTCTCGTAAGCTTTCAGAAAATATACATATATCTAGTTATACATATTTAGGTTATCTGCAAAGTTGAATCAATTTATGTTTTAAAAATTTGTCTAGAAGAGAATGGATCCCCATTAATGCCTCTTTCTTTCTTTTTATTTATTTTACATTACAATTCTTTCTTTTTTCTTTTTTGTCTCTTCATTTGCATTTAACACAGTTCTCAAAACATTTGAGTGAAATTGGGCCTTCTTTGTACATTCTTTCTTTTTTTAAAAAGATTTTATTTATTTAATTGGACACTATCTTTATTTCATTTTTATGTGGTGCTGAGAATCAAACCCAGTGCCTCACTGAGGCATGCTAGGCAAGCACACTATCACTTGAGCCACATCCCCAGCCCTACAATTCTTAATACACCATTATAATGCCTCTTTCTTAAGGGAGTAATTTTATTTATTTATTTTCCTCCTGGGGCATGCTATTTCCTCCTTAAACAAAAGTTTGGTTAATATAGATTACTTTTTCAGGATCCCTTTGACCCAAATGGCTTTAATTACTTTTAATAGACATCCAGCAGAGCAGGATGTAGCACTTTAAACATTTTATAGAAACCAACACTGATTGGCTGGCCACTTAGAAAAATGTATGGGTTATTAATTTCAAAGGCATCTTTTCTCTTACCAATTTAGATGGACCATTTTTGTTAGTTTTGTTAGTCATATGAATTGAAAGGCATTTGAATCCATTCTTAAATTTATGAGTACTCATTTATTTATAAGCCAATTCTGAGACCATGTACATGATTATAGACATAAGCACATATATAGACATGATACAAATATGCAAAGTACACATGAAACAGGAAACAAAGATTTGGTAGCTGTTAAATCCCTACAGGTATAAGGCAAAAGAACTATCAGATTTAACACTTTAGAAATTAAAATAGAGCTTGTCATAGATTTTTTACAATATAGACCAGATGGGAAAAGGGCCTGTGTAGTTCGGAACATTAGGAATACTCTGTCAGCAGTGGAGGACACTGAAATCAAAGATTCAAGTGGTTGCTCATCCTCCATGGGGCAGATTTACTCTCAGCATTATCACTGTTTATTTTCCTTGCTTAGAAATCTTCAAAGGAAAAGAAGACTTGTACATATAAGATCTTTCCATTGTCCCTCCCAGTTTCTAGGTCTCAAATTTTTATTCCCCATTTTTTTTGTAGGTTCCTGTAATTGAGTTTCCCCCTATGTACTCAACCCCCCTATTGGAGGTTTCTTTATAGCCCATGTTCAATTCTCCTCACTGGGGATTTCTTGCACTGCCCCCCACCTTATCCTGCTTTCCTGGGTATGATTTCCTATTTCTGAATAGAGGTTCTCAGTCACACACAACTTCTGGGATGTCTTGACCACCAAGGAAGTACTTTCTTAAGAATAAATTTTCCTACCTTGGTCTAAGCATGAAGTTACCTGGTTGCTATGGTGGTTATTAGGCCCTTTTCCTGCACTGCAGATCCACTTTTCAATTTTGGGTCTGTTGTTGGCCTCAGGGATCTGAGATTTCCTTACCTGCTCTGAAGCTGTCACAAGGCAGCAGGACGTGTCTCCTCTAAGTAGGGAGTCCCCATAACCTCCTAGATGACATATGGAGCCCCCACATTTGTTGCCAAAATTGTTCAAAATACTGGGTTTGGGTTGTGGCTCAGTGGTAGAACGCTTGCCTAGCATGTGTGAGGCACTGGGTTCGAGTTTCAGCACCACATATAAGCAAATAAATATATAAAGATCCATCAATAACTCATGAAATATTTGAAAAAAAGAAATACTGGGTTGCCACAAGGAATCAAACATGCTTGGAAGTATCTTGGCAAGGCAAACTTTACATATGCAGAAGCGGGTGCTACAAAAGTCTGGCAAGCAAGCACACTTGGGCAGGAAGTCTACCTGTTTTACTTCCTAACACAGCACTGCCCCTTGGTCTGATAGGAGGAGCTCAGGGTTACAATCTATACTTTTGGTCAGTTTTAAAATTGGGGCAGGCCAAGGGAAGGGCTATAGTTAAAATTGTAACAATTGGATCTCAAAATGACTACAATTGGATCTTACATCCCAATTAAGGCTAACTACTATATTCTAAAAATGGACGATTGAACTTTTTATTTCTCACAGTTGTAATATGTATTAATTATATATAACTATATATATAATTATATATGTAACTATGTATAGTTATATATAATTATTTATAATTACATATAGTTATACATATATAGTCATATATATTATATACTAATTATATACAGTGGGTCTATTTCTGGGCTGTATATTCTGTTCCATTAATTTATATGTCTGTTCTCTGTTTAGACTATTGTAGCTTTATAGTAACTCTTGATGTTGGGTACTTAGTTCTGCAACTTTATCTCCTTCAGTATTGTGTTGCCAATTCTGGGTCTTATCTCTCCATATATTAGAATTAGTTTGTTGATATCTACAAAATTACTTGCTGAGATTTTGACTGAGATTGCAGTGACTCTCTAGATCAAGTTGGGAAGAGGTGATATCTTGACAATAGTGTTCCTGCACAGAAACATGCAATATCTTTAGATTCATTTGACTTTTTGAACGGGGTTTTATAGTTTTCTTCATATAGCTCTTCTGCACATTTTATTAGATTTATACCCAAGTACTTAATTTTGAGAGTGCTAATGTCAATAGTGGTTTTAAAAAATATTTTTTTTTAGTTGTGTATGGACACAATACCTTTATTTTGTTTATTTTTAATGTGGTGCTGAGGATTGAACCTAGTGCCTCATATGTGCTAGGCAAGAGTTCTACCACTAAGCTACAAATCCAGCCCAATAGTGGGGTTTTTAAAAAATATTTTTATAATACCTTTATTTTATTTATTTTTATGTGATGCTGAGGATTGAACCCAGCACCCCACACATGCTAGGCGAGTGCTTTGCCGCTGAGCCACAACCCCAGCCCGGGTTCCAGGAGTTTTCTTGTCAATTCTTTCGGGTTTTCTGCCATGACTTTTTAAAAATACCAACTGATATTTATTTAACGAGGGTATGGTTCTAGATTATTAAAATATAGTCATAGTCTTAGCAAAACTTTGCTAATCTGAAAGCTCTTTTCTCTTGGAGTCATTTTAGGAAGATAGCATGAAGATTTCTTCAAGACCTTCAATTTCGCATAATAATTTAAAAATATATATTACATCTTTTAAAAAATCATGGTAAATGCACATAACAAAAACTCACCAACTGAAACCATTTTTGAAGTAGGTTAAATGCAGTCACATTGTTGTGAAAACAATCTCTAGAACTTTTATCTTGCAAAACCAAAACAGTATACCCATTAAACAACTCCTGGTTTCTTTCTCTCCTCAACCCCTGGCAATCACAGTTCTACTTCCTGTTTCTATGAATTTGACTACTCTAGATACCTCATATTAGTGGAATTATACAATGTTTGTCTTCTCACAACTGGCTTATTTCACTTAGCACAATGTATTCAAAGTATATTGGTGATGTAGCATGTGTCAGATATTATCTTAAAGCTGAGTATTGTAATTTGTGTGGATATATACACTGTATTTTGTTTATCCATTTATCTGTTGATTAATGTTTAGGTTGTTTGTGTTTTGCTATTGTGAATAACAGTACTGCTATTAACATGGGTACATAGATACCTGCTTGAATTTCGAGATAACATGGTAATTCTGTTTTGAATTTTTTTGGGGGGAGGGGTAATAGGAATTGAACAAAGGAACACTATACCACTGAGCTTCATCCCTAGCCCTTTTTTATTTTGAGACAGTTGGCAAGACTGGCTTCAAACTTGCAATCCTCCTATCTCAGCCTCCTGAATCACTGTGGTTACAGGTATGCACCACTGTCCCTGGTTCTATTTTTAATTTTTTTTGAGGAATCACTGTACTATTTTCCATAGTGGCTATACCATTTTATATTCCCAACACCAATGTACAAGTTTTTCAATTTATCTTGCTAATACTTGCTATATTCTCTTGTTTCTTTTTTTTATTTGTGAACCCAGGGCCTCATATATGCTAGGTCTTTTTTTTTTTTTTAATGTAATAGTCATCCCAATGTGTATGAAGTGGTATGTTGTAGTTTTGGTTTTCCTTTTCCTAAAGATTAGTGATGTTGAGCATCATTTCTTGTCTTCTTGGCCATTTGTATATCTTCTTTGGAGAAATGTTTATTCAGTGTCTTTGCTCAAGTTGGTTACTTGTTTTTTTGTTCATAAGTATTTCTCAACCTAAGTGGAGCCGTAGGAATTCTTTATATTTTCTAGATACTAAGTCCTTATCAGATATGATTTAAACATATTTTCTTCCTTTTTACTCTGTTGGTGTCCTGTAATGCACAGATATTACTAATTTCAGTGAATCCAATTTACCTATTTTTACTTTGTTGAATGCTTTATGTCATATCCAAGAAATAATTTTTAAGTGCAATGTAATGAAGTTGTGTTTTCTTCTAAAGCTTTACAGTTTTGTATCTCATGTTTGGGTCTTGGATCCATTTTGAGTTAGTTTTTGTATATGACATTATGTAAGGGTCCAGGTTCATTCTTTTGCATGTTCATTTTATTCCCCCCTGTTCATTGAAAAGACTATCCTTTCCCCACTCAATGGTCTTGGTACTTTTGTTGAAAAATCATATATTTATTTATTATTCATAATAGACATTATGAAAGATCTCATTCATAATATATTCTTGTTAACTATCTAAACTTGTTTTTTTTTAATAACTTGAGTCCATTTTTCTAGTTTCGTGTGAAGGTGGAAAAATGGAGAATTTAAGGAAAAGTTTTAGTTTTCACTTACTAACTGGCAAACATGGTTACTTCATACTATCATATAGAACAATATATTAAAGAAAATATAGTTATGAATACATCTATATATACATAGCACAGGCTATGGCCTCCTCGCATAGAACCTAGAAATGGTACTGAACTTTTCTACCACACTTCCCATATAGTTGTAAAAGACAGTGGTCAAATGAGCAAAAGGATATGTAGATCAGGAAATGCAGTTTGTTTTAGATTAATGATTTTAGTAGAAAGTCTGGAGAAAATGTATTCTTTGGCAAAATTATATTTTTTTCAATATAATATATTCTTTAAAAATTGACTTTTATTTATCTGTGTGATAAAGGAGGGTGGAAAATTAAAATTTGCTGATAATTGAATCTTTTTTGTTTATGTTGTTTTGATATGGGATCTCTCTAAGTTGACTAGGCTGGTCATGAACTCCTGGGCTCAAGTGAATGTGCTTCCTCAGCCTCCCCAACAGCATGGTACATATCACCATTCCTGGACATTTTATCTCTATTTAAAATGTGGCACACACATTACAAATTACCAACAAAACAAAACAAAGAAAAACCCAGACAAAACCAAAAAATTACCTAAAATTTTTTTAAGGAGAGTTGTGAATTGAAAAATCTTTTACTCCCTTTGTCATATTCCCCAGTAGAGGTATAGATGCATAGAAAGTAGGAAGAAAAATCGGAAGTATAAAAACCTCAGTGTAGCTTTTAAGAAGATTTAATTTTATAATTCATGCACAATATTTCAAGATGTTGATTATTACAGATATCTACAATTTGAAAACTTTTATATGCTAATGAACAGGTATCAAGAACTGTGAAGGGTCCAAAATTTTACCCTACTTACAAGTTAATAAATTATGGAACTGTTTCATGTCTGCTGGTAAAAGGCATAAGACTCCTGGCATTAGAAACAAAGGACAGTTTATTAATCATAACAATAGTACCCAGAGTATCAATATTTTTTTTAGTGCTTATTTTTTAGTTGTAGTTGGACGCGATACCTTAATTTTATATGTGGTGCTAAGGATCAAACCCAGGGTCTATCACTGAGCTACAGCCCCAGCCCAGCAATTTAAATGTATTTATTTTTGCATTGATTTCCTGAGTTCTATTACCATACAGCAATGTGAAAAGGGCCATATGCCACCAGCACACTCTGGGCTATTTAAAGAGAAAGAACTCAGAACTTAAGGAGCTCAAATCTTTTATAATAGATAGTAAATATGCCTACTCTTTGCTCCAGAGGAATATAATATCTCTGAGTTTCATGGGGCAGTCAGTGCCTCACAGCAAGCAGTAAGATTCAAAAGATACAGGGGAAATGTCTACTACTAATGGGTTTGAGCTAACATTTTTGCTTAATAAATATTTTACATATAATGTAAATTAGTGATATAAGTAAGACCAGCTGACAAAATTTTTAAAATACTAGAGAACAAGGTTTAAATATTGTTTTTGAAGTACCTAATAATGTACAGCTTAAAACATTTTCAAAATTTGTATATTACTAAAAATAAAGTATGTTAAGGACTTTTATTTAGGATCACTTTGCTACTATTATGCTATGTTACATATACTATCTTTCCTTTTTAAAAATCCATACGGGGAGATTTTAATTGAATCAGGTCATGAAAAAGGCTGATTTCTTTTTGAAGTTAAAAAAAAAAAAAGTTCATTTTTTACACCAAACCAAAGTGAACCATTCTGAGAGAACCACCATCTCCAATGTCCTGCAAGTAAATAGATAAACATAATTAAAATAAAATCATGTTTAAGCAGAGCAAAAATGTTGACTTAATATTTAAATCTTTACTATTTTTAAGTATTTAAAAACAGTGAAATAAAATTCTTTAAAATGTATTTTACATATGTAGACATAAGATCTTTATATTTATCTTAATTATTAAAACTCATAGTTTTCATGAAATTAATCAAGAAATATATGAAGTATAAAAAGGCAAAGAAGGAAGGTCAAGATGATAATTGAAATTTGGAAGCATTTGAAGACTCCTACAACAAAAAATTGTAAACTGCAGTTTATTGTGATTCTGCCTATTTGATTTTAAAATACTGTGTGTTCTAAAAGTTCTAAATACAATACAATGCATTTCTTAAGTCTGATTTTTTTTAACTGAATATTTGACCAGTGACTCCTGAGGTAAGGAATCAAATAGAAAAGATTATATAATTTCATAAGCTTTTTACAACATGTTATAAAAGTAAAAAGAAATATTAACAAGAACTTCATTCATTTCCCATTTGTTATTCTTTCCATGATTCATACCTCTCCTATACCGATATCAACAACATTGGGTACAGAAAAGCAAGATTTTATGATGGGATTCTGAAACTAGAGTATGTTTGAAGGCAAGACTAAAGAAGAGTAATTCCAGGCACTGAGGCTGTAGCTCAGTGGCAGAGCGTTTGCCTACCATGTGTGGGACTATGGGTTAGATCCTCAGCACCACATAAAAATAAACAAAATAAAGGCATTCTGTCCATCTATAGCTACCAATAAATAAATAAACCAGAGTGATTCCATTTGAAAAATCACACATTAGGAGCAGTTTTAGAAAATTTGAAGGTAGCCTACTTGCAGTTGAAATGATAAGGTGAAAGGTGAAGAGAGTAGGGATAACAGCTAGCTACCAGTGATGAATTCTGCTTCTTCACATATTGAACACACAAGCATATAAATCAGGGTTTATTTAAAAAAGGATAACATAGATTTCTCCTGTGAGGGAGAAGGGGGTTATAACTGGTATTCTGGTATCCCAAGAAGTGAGGATGTTCTTTCTTTTCTATGTGTCATAGATTTCCTTTGTTCTCCTCCTCTCTCTCTCTCCTTCCTGAATAGGTGACTAGGCCCAGAAGATGCTTGGTTGGAGGGCTAAAAGGTGCGAAGCAGATGGGTGGAAGGGCTTCCTGGAGGGGCCAAGGTGGCGTGATCTGGGCAGGAAAGGGGCATAATTAATAACTCCTATAGGGAGGGACAATCCTGGGACAGTTGCCTTAGCAATAGGTTGGAGCTGGGGCAGGTTATCTTGATAAGGGTGAAGGAAGGGCTCTCCAACTTCCCAGACTCACTCAAATTGGCCTCCTTGATTTGACCTGACTCAATTTTCCTACCTATACTGACTGCTTGTCTAATTTATTACCATGTGCTAATATGAGATTTTTTTCCCAAAAGTATCAGTGAAAATAACTTATCCCAACACAATAACAAAAATATTTTTAGATATTTAAAATAATATAAGGCTTGGGTGTAGCCCAGTATTAAGAGTGCATGCCTAACATACATAGGTTACATCCCAAGCACCATTAAAAAAAAAAAATTCCTTAAGTATTAAGGTTCTTTTTACTAAGAAGCCTTTCATAAAGTCTGCATTCATACTGTTTTACATAGTCACAGCTCAAGGAAAATGGGTATGGAGTGGAAGGTAAGGGAGGGGTGTGTGTGTGTGTGTGGAGGGTGCATGTGCCAGCTCTCTAGCTGCTAAGGTACACACACACCAAAAAAAAAAAAAAAACCTGGAAAAACAGGTAACAAGAAGAATGAGTAATTTAATACTGCCCCAGGCTTGTGTGTGTGTGCTGGCAAGTTCAGCGGTTTTAGGTAGCTTTCAATTTAAAAACAAAACAAAACATTAAAAGCACTGTCATTTTAAAGACAAGCTCCAACTCTTGGCCTACAAACCGCCTTACCAAAGTCTAATTTCTACACCATTAGAATGGTCATTGAGGAGCCTGTAGTTGGTCTTTTTTATCAACTGGCGGAGATTCTAGGTAAATTATTTTATTTTCCTATATTGCAAGTATAGGAAATAAATACTTGCAGCTGAAAGGCCAGGTTTCACATGAAGCGTCATGTGGTTTAGCTATTTTTTCCTCCTTTCTTCCCTGCTACCTTCTTTCCTTCTGTTTTCCCTCGCTCTTTCCTTCCCTCCCTCTCCCACTTTCTTCCCTTCTTTCTTTCTAGTGATCTCAGGAATTTTTTTAAAAAGCCATAAAGGTTTCCTTTGAAGAATTTCCTTTAAAATCCATTGCAAAGACTTCAGGGCATTTCTAAGGTTTCCATGATAAGTTACACAATGCTAAATAACCTTGACTTGTACTCTATTTACCTTGGATATTTTGAAGATTAATGAAATAAAGTTTTACATTCAGTTGTTTCATAATCATTAAAGCATACTCATTTAAATAAAATTTGTAAAACAGAAAAGTACAAAAATTTACCCAGTCTCACCAATCACATAAAATATGGTGAACATTATTTCCTTCCAGTTATCTTTTTTCCACAATTTATTTACTTATTTTAAGCCCAGGTAAAATTTTATATATATAATTCCACATTTTTTATTTTCTTACTTTTGGCTTCTCTTTGAACACTTTTCAGTGCTCCCACAGTCTTTGTTTCTAATTTCATTCCATCAAATATTACAACTTATAAATTCCACCAAAAAATGAAATTATTAATGTGCAATTGCTTTTTTAAATAAAAAACCTTATGGTGGATATTCTTAGACATTAGTTATTTTCTGGATTTAGGATTATTTCCTTCTTACAGAACTATAGAAATACAGTTATGAAATTTTATCCCTTGAAAAACTGTAGAATTGGTAGTTTCGCTTTCTTTCTTTCATAGTTTGAGAAAAGATGATTTTATTTGGTAACAGGAAGTTGTAGTTCCAAACGAGGTTGATCTTCATTTTATTATGTGTTGAAATTATGCTCACCCTTGACTGAAGGAAGGTACATGTTAATTCCTGTAGTAATTTACACAACAAAAGGGTTTTCCCCAGTTCCTCATTTGACTTCTACATATAGTTAAGTGCATTTTCTGAGCCACACCTTACTGCTGTTACCTAATGTTGGGTGATACCAGGTCACTTTCTTTTAAATGTATATAGACTTTCATAAGCAAACTTAAGACATGTTAAGGTTTGCTTTGCTAAAAACTGGATTTTGACCTGTTGCTCACTTAATACAGATTTTTTTTCTTTGATATAAGTGATCATGTCTTTGTTTTGTATTAGATTTCCTACTAATGGCTTCTCCTAAAGTTTCTGATATAACAATAATTAAATTCCAGACGGTGAATTTTAGAGATAGAAGAAACTTGAAAACTCCTAATCTGAAATCCTTTCATCTTATAGATGAGCAAACGGATGCTCATGTAGGTGAAGTGCTTTGTCAATTCACTTATTTAGTGACAAAGCTGGAATTAGAATTTAGTTATTTTTCTGGAACGCTTTTTCCACAGTTTTTTTCTTTTCAACATACTAACAAATAACATGTTTTGTAGGCTGCTTTATGATTAGTGTTAGGTTGGTGGAGGTGGCTGAGGAACAAAGCACTAAGGAACCAGAGCGGGAAAGAACCACCAATTAGGCGCCAACGGAACCGCCTGTCAATCAGTGGGGTCTTCTGGACAATCCTGGATCTTAGCCAACTAACCCCAGTAGGACAAGGGACTCTGAAAACCCTTTTTTCCTGCCCCAAGCCCTCCATTCCTGTCCTAAACCCAATAAAAATTCCAGTCTGATGGAGCCACTGCTCTTCTCCCAGATCCGCCCTGTTGGTCTGGAGGGTCTGGCCTGGGAGTGAAATCTCCACAAGCCTTGTTCAGCAGCCTTTTTAATCTGCCTCCTTTTGGTCACCGCTGCCTGACCTTACAATTAGGTCCTCTCATTCCCTGGTTTTGTCATTTAAGGCCCTGGCTTATATTCGTGCCAGTAGCCCATCATATGGCAATAGATGCTTTCCTGAGTAAATTGACCAGGAATTCAAGTTTCACTATTAAACATTAACTCTGCATCATGCATATTTGATATTATAATGAGATTTCTTTTTAGTTAACATTGTAGAGTTTTGGTACTTAATGTTGTTTCTAGGAAATGCAGTCTCACACTGACTACTGTCTAGCATTTGCTAGGTTGGTTTGAGATTTCAGGTACTTACAAGACACAGGTTAACAGATAAGCTAACTAACTTCCTAACTCCTTTTGTGGTAAGTAAACTATCAAAAATGTATTTAGAACATGTCATTTCATCTTTCCACAGAAATACCTTCAGTGGATTATGATTTAATATAATACCTTAAGCTTATGTAGATGAGGTATCATAAGAAACATCTTTGTGAATAGGAATTGTCTTTTTGGAAGCTATATAAAAACCTGTTTAGTTTTTCAGTTTTCTGATGTAAGCAGTCTTGAGTATGAGTGTCCTAGAAAAACATTTCCTCAAATTTATTATTTGAATAACTTTAAAAAATTAAGTCAAAAAGAGCAATTATAGCAAATCATGTTTTGGAGTTTATAAAATGCTTTGCCATTACCTAATTTGACATAACAAGCATGTAGTATTATTTCTAAAAATTATACTCAGATTACAAACAGGCATGGAGGTGCATGGCAGTGAGGAAACAGCAAACAAAACTGAAACTGAGAGAGTTTGCATATAAATCCTCCATTCTGTTATATCATGATGCCTTCCAAAGTAAACCTATTTCCCTTTTTTGCTTTCCCTCCTCAAATTCAGAGTTAAATTCAGTTTTTTGAATTTATTTTTTATTTGTAGTTGGACCCAACACCTTTATTTTTATGTGGTGCTGAGAATTGAACCCAGGGCCCCGCACATGCTAGGTGAGCACTCTACCGCTGAGCCACAACCCCAGCCCCTAAATTCAGTTTTAATTTGTATCTAATATCTTACTAGAGCTATCTCTTATTCTGCATCTTGTAATTTATTTTTGCTTTATGAATAATTTATTTTTGTTATTATATATAACACAATTATGAATTGCCCCAACATTTTTGGGGAGAAGATAGGACATAAATACTAGGATAAATTCAGTATTTATGAAGAATGATCATTATATTATGGCTATGTTAAAATTTTTTTTACCTAGCGGTTCATCCAAGTCAGCCATTTAAGGGAGTATGTTGATTTTTTTTTTTTTTTTTTTTTTTTTTGGTGCTAGGGATTAGAACCTAGGGCCTTGTGCATGCAAGGCAAGCATTCTACCAAACAAGCTATATCCCCCCCAGTGTATGTTGACATATTTTAACATATTAAAAAATAATCCTTTGGAGCAAAGAATAAGCATAAAAATAATGTATCATTTACTATTTTTCAACCAATGCTTGAAGCTACTGTCCTATAAGTAATTTAATTAATTTATGATAGAAGAATGTTAGTGAAAAATCACTTTAGAAATTACACACTTCAGCTTCAGGAGATCTTTATTAATATAGTTGTCAGTATGCAAATATTGGGGGTTCACATACCTCCTATCTTATCTGCACCATTCCCCTTGGGCTGGGCCTAACTCTCCTGCTAAGAGTAAGAATATCAAGAGCAATAGAAATAGTAGATTGCTATGTCTGCCATAATTTCCCATTAAAAGGAATCTTAGACTTGGAAATGGCAGAAACTCATTCTTTTAAACAGTATGAAAATGAGTAGTACAAGCAAAATAAAGGGGAAGGCTATAGGTGAGTTTTATGTTAGAGTCTAGCTTTCAATATTTCCATTATGTGACTTCAAGAGGTAATTTATATAAGGGGTTTCTACATAACATGAGTAGGGGTTGTTCTAGACAAGACTTAACCAGGGTGATTGTGCCATCCCATGCCCAAGGAAACATTTGGCAATGGCTAGAGTTATTTGGTCAGGAAAACTCCTAGCATCCAGTAGGGATTGCTGCTAAATATTCTACAATACAGAGGATGACCCCAACAACAAAAGGATTATTTGGCCCCAAATGTCACAAGTGCTAAGGATGAGAAACCTTGGTCTACAGCCAGATTATTTAAATCTGAATTCCAGCTTCTTCCTTTCAAGCTGTGTGACTATGGTTAAATTATTTAATTTTCATGTCTAAATTTCATTGTTTGTATGGGGCTAATAGCAGTATCCTTCTAGGGGTTTGCTGAATTAAAACATTTAAGATATTAAATAACTGGTACTTGTCTCAATAAGTACATAATACATACCTTTATGTCAAATAATAAACTGTTGCTTTTTGTTGTTGCTATCAAATATATCCAATTGGTTCAAGTTGACAAAGAGGTGATAAATAGGTTGAAAAATAATTATTACCATAGTTTGTATGTGGTTTGCCCCCAAAGGCTCACTTGTTGGAGGCTTAATTCCAAATATGGCAGCCTTAAGAGGTGGCAGGACTTTCAAGAGATGGAATTTATTAGGTCAGATGCAGTGGGGCGTGCCTGTAATCCCAACATTTTGGGAGGCTCAGGCAGAAGGATCACAACTTTGAGGACAGCCTCAGCAACTTGGCAAAACCCTGTCTCCAAAAATAAAAAGAACTAGGGATGTGGCTTGAGCACCTCTGGATTCAATCACCAGTACCCCAAAATTAAAAAAATAAAAAAGGAGGTAAGGGCTTAATGTATGATGACTGGGTTCCTGGGGGTACTGCCAGAAGGAATTAATTCTGATTTTATGGAATGAATTCTTACCAGAGTAAGTTATAAAAGGGCAAACTTGGTCCCTGAATCTCTCTGTGGCTTCTAGTCTTGCCATGTAATCTCTTATGTATGCATACTCCTTCCATTCTAATGCCATCTGCTATGAGGTCCTTGCAGAGGTTGAACTGATGGGACAACTTTCAGCATCCCAAACTGAAGCCTAAATAAACCTCTTTTCTTCATAAAATACATAATCTCACACATTTCATTACAGCAACAGAAAATGGACTAATACACTTATAATATGAAAAGAAAATTTTGCAAAAATACATAAGGACAATCCCTGAAATGTACTGTATGAAAATTTTGAATAAGACCTTTACAAATGATAATGATAGGTTGTTATAATCTGTATCTTATTTGTACTTGATAACAATTTCTACACAAGAAACCAGAGGATGAACATAAAGTGTGTGTAAATTAGCAGTAACATGTTTAAGCTATATTACCCTCTGAATTCAGTCCTGTGACCAGTTAGGTTACAACAACCATTCTGTACAGTAATAGATAAACGGATGTTTCTCTTGTTCTGTATATCAGCCCTTCTAGAAAAATTCTTGAAGTTAGTTTTCTTTCTTGTATCTCATGCACATTTGTGTATCCAAGTGGATGTGACTATAAAACTTTGAATACTGTTTTTTCTTTAACAATTGTTCTGAAAAAGTGAATGATTTAAAATGCATGAAATTTATAGTAAAGTATCTTTAAGCTTTAATAAGTTAAATGCAAATTGTTATATATGTGTATTTAACTATAATATGGGGTATTTTCTTCTAAATAAATCAAGATTTACGTTTTTTTCAATATAGGTATGTCCATAGGGTAGACTGAAGTAATGATGTTGTTGATAATTACTATCATTAGTATAGTTACATATAATTAATAAAATCCTACCATGTTCATGTTCATAATAGAGCTTCACACAAATCCTTTGGGGTATATGGAATTATTTCTATTTTACAGATAAAGAAGTTGAGGCTTAGAGTGATGGAATGAATAGTCCAAAGTTATAATGTTAATAATTGTGGAATAATCATTCAAATCTAAGTCTCAGAATGAATCAGATACTATAATAATCCATTTTGGGGTACTTATAAAATTATAAGGATTTCTCATACCAAGCCTTTTTTGAAAATGGTATAAAACAGGACTTTGATACCTCTTTTCAGAGTTAACAAAAACAGAATGTGGAAATGGGTTCAGGACCAGTTGTTAGAATTGGTATTTCTACATATGTTACTTATAAAAATTATATATGTAATAAAATGAATCAGATAATTTTTATAAGGGTTTTAAAAATTTTGTACTTTGAATAATTTCAGTCATATACCAATAAGAGAATGATATACATGAACTGCTCTATCACCATCCAGCTTCATCAATTTTCAGCCTCTGGTGACTCTTCTTCTATATCCTTCCTAATTTCTTGCTACTGAATTATTTGAGTCAAATTCAAGCTTCATTCATATATATTTCATTATGCATAATTTTACTTAAAAATAACAATTTTAATAATTGTAACTTTGAAATAATGCAAAGCTAACTCTTAAGAAACAGTACAGAAATGTAATCCAGTTAATGTAGACAAAGGCAGCATATCCTAAGTTTAAAATAATCATATATTATGTTTTTCTCTTAGAATTGTCTGATTATAAATAGTAAGAGAAATTACCTGTCCTCTGTAATCTTCTTTCAGTTCTCCTAAAATAAAAGATCACAACAGTAATGACCTTAAAATCAAATAAAGGACTTTCTAAAAATTAACAAAACTTTTCAATTTCTTCATGAAAAGAAAAACACTGAAAATACAACTTAAATAAATTAAAATGCTGAAAACTAAACCTTAAAATAGTATGAAAGTGCTAAATTATTCTTCTATATAAGTTATGGATAATATGCACTGAAGTAAAATAAGGAGACTATATCTTGTCCTTTCTGTTGTTAAAATGATGTCTTACTAGCATGACCAGGAATTTAATCTGTCAGTTTTAGTTGAGTAGTGATGGTTACCTGGGGACGCAGTAGGGAACTGTGTTGAGAAGGCACTCCCTCCTATTTTATTTTATATTTTGAATTCAATGGGAAAGGAAGCCATAATTGATTACTGAGGTATCTGTTCTAATACCAGCACTATACCTGCTGACTTAGTATATCGCTTAAATTTACATGCAGAGAGAAAAGTACTATCATTATTGCCATAATGTAATTTCTCATTATTGATAGATATTAGGTAGGAATTATATTACATATTCTCATCCTTGAAACAATGAATTGGGTATAATTGATGGTATTTATAAATCTGTTATGTTTTTCTTAAAGCACTTGGTGTATACAGATGCCATTCATTGGGCACTAGGTGATAATATACCTTTGTTTATCTCTCCCTCTCTACACACACAAAGATACACGATCTTTTTTTTTTTTTTTTTTGGTACTAGGGATTGATCCAGATGTGCTTTACCACTGAGTTACTTCCCCAGTCCTTATCATTTTAAAAATATTTTTTAGTTATAGATGGACATAATACATTTATTTACTTATCTATGTGATGCTGAGGATTGAACCCAGGGCTTCACACATGCTAGGTGAGTGCTCTACCACTGAGCCACAACTCCAGCTTTATTTTGAAACAGGGTCTCCTTAAGTAGCCCAGCTGGCCTCAAACTTGTTATCCTCTTGCTTTAGCCTCATGGTTTGCTGGGATTACAGGTATGTGCGATTGTGCCTGCCACTAACTTATATTATTCTCTTTATTCATTTAGTTTACCTTCCTAGATATATTAGACATTTACTAAAATGTATTGATAGCATCTTATTCCTCCTCATAGAGCCAGCACCAAGTAATGCACTGATGATGACTGCATTTCTCTCAAAACACTTCTTACTTGTCATTAGCCTTCTTACTTGTTCATGGGGGTATTTTTGTGTAGTTTGGGATGTTTTGTTTATATAGTTCAAAGATCTGTATTGTAATGTTTTCATAGGACAGGCGATTTTTAAAAAATAGGTTGGCTCTTGATTTTAGACAAACATTTAAATCCTGCAATAAGATGGTTATTCTCTTGTTGATGATCTCTATGAGTATAAAATTAGCAAACTCTTTCAGAAAGTGGTTCAACATTTGTCTCTCACTGGTCAATGAATTCTTTTAATGGCTACACAAAACTACCCAGCTTTAATTTAAACATGTATTTTTAAAAATTTATTTGTTATTTTTAGATATACATGACATTATAGTATTTTTTGATATACTTATACAAACATGGAGTATATTTTATTCTAATTAGGATCCCAGTCTTGTGGTTGTATGAGATGTGAAGATTCATTGTGGTATATTCATGTGTGTACATAGGAACGTTGTGTCAGATTAATTCTATTGTCTTATTCCTATCTCTACTCCCTTCCCTCCATTCCCCTTTGTCTAATCCACTGAACTTTTATTCTTCTGTCTCCCTGTTGTGTTAGCTTCCACCAATGTTTAGCAGCTCAGTTCACAACAGTTAAGCATGTTTTTAAAAAGTTTTCCATAGACCATAAAAAGAACTCAGTATTTGGTGTGTTTTTTAAAATAATAATCATTACCCCATAAACTTGACATTTTTGAGTTAAACAACTTAATTTTTAAAAACTTAAAAAAAGAAGACACTGTTAGACATCGTCACGCTTTCCTGAATCCATGACAAAGTTTTCATAGAAAGGAAAAAAAAACTTTTATAGCAGGAGTCTTAAGATTTATAATGTAGTTTCTCGATGGACATCTAAAGAGATTGGTGTAATGAAGTGCTTACTTCAGACTTTTAAAAATACACCAATTGTTTACTTTTCTAACAAAAGCCAGTATTAATGCTTTATTGAGTTTCTTGTCAACTATGACAGTTTCTATCTCTGAACTATATTGTCTTAGTCTAGATGAGGGGATTCACATTATATGAAGAACCAGGGAGTAAATATTTAGGCTTTGTGAGCTAAAAAACAAAATTGAAGACACTGTGTAAATACTTTAAACTATAGTAGTAATAATTAAATTTAGAAATATATCTAATGAGAATAGGGGGTATATCATTGCATTTAATGGGGATTCAGAGTTAATGGTTTTTCTCAACAAACTCAACTGCAAAAGTTCATGTTAATCTTGACCTCTGGTATTTTATTTTTGAAAATGCCTTTTCAAAAAAATGAGTACTACCAGTTATTATAACAATCTATGAACAGCATCTATTTTATAGAATTCTATTAGGTTCTTCTCTTAATATTTACCTTTTAGCATGTCATTACAAGCCAGGCAGAGTGGTGCATGCCTGTAATTCCAGTGACTTGGGAAGTTGAGGCAGGAGGATATCAAGTTCAAGGCTAGCCTCAGCAACTTAGCAAGATCCTGGCTCAAAAAAATAAAAAGGTCTGGAAATGTAGCTGAGTGGTGGAATGCTCCCGTATTTATTCCCAACACACAAAGCAGAAACATATGACTATGTTGTAGGTTATTCACTTCCAATGAAAGGTTAGGTGGGAGCTTCTCAATTCTACTGTTGATGGATTTTGGAATATAAAATGTTCTTCTGCTTTTGTAGCCAGCTCCAAAAAACACCACCAGGATTAAGGAAACTGGTAGTTCCAGTTTTCTAGAATTAAGCAGGATCACCAGGATTTGAGACTGTAAGTACTAAAACTGGGATAGTTCTTGTTGTTTGTTTTTGAGACTGGGTCTCAAGGTATTGCTCAAGTTGGGCTCCAATGATCATCCCACCTTGTGCCATCATACCCAGTAAATATATCTACTTGATTTGTAGGGACATAGATTTCATTTGTTGTTTTAACTTTTTAAAATACCTATTTATTTATTTTTTATGTGGTGCTGAGGATTGAACCCAGTGCCTTGAATGTGCTAGGCAAGTGCTCCACTGCTGAGCCACAACCCCAGCCCTTGTTTTAACTCTTGACAGTAAGTACAACCTAACATTATTTTGACAATCTCAATTAATGCTTCTTAATCCATTTCAGTGTTATCAAGTTTGCAGCAAAAACTGATTTCCAAAGCCATTTAGTCTGATAAGTGGTTAATGGTGCCTCTTTTCATTCAGAAAAATTTCAGTCTTAGTATTGAACTTAAAAAAAAAAAATCACAAATTTTGCCAGGTGTTTGAACTTCTGTGTGATAGAAAGTCCAGATATTCAACCTCTATTTTTGACAAAAATTCTCAAAACTGATAACAGTTAAACCCAAAGTGAATGAAGTTCACTACTGACATTGCTGGTTTAGTAACATATAAGAGGGTAAAATATTTTCTGCAAAGCACATAATGATGAGGAACAAATACAGTGAAGAACCATAGTAAATTTGAACAACAAAGTCTTTTTCCTCTGCATATGTTTCATCATCAGTTGTGAAAAATCTTATCAGATTATGTTTTAGGTTAATTAAAGTTTCTTTTAAAAAAATAATATTTTTAATTTTTAAAAATATTCTTGCCTTTTTTTAATTAAAAAACTTTTTAATTGTTGATGGACCTTTAATTTACTTATGTGGTGCTAAGAATCGAACGCAGTGCTTCACACATGCTAAGCAAGTGTTATACCACTGAACTCCAGCCCAGTCTTTTTTAATATTCTTTTAAAATGTTTTTCACACAGACTATTTAATGAGGCTGAGTCTTTAATTACTTCAAAATTGTGCTTGCCTCACATGTGCGAGGCACTGGGTTCATTCCTCATCATCACATAAAAATAAATAAAATGAAGGTATTTTGTCCATCTACAACTGGAAAAACAAATAAATAGCCAGGTGTAGTGGTGCATGTCAATAATCCCAGTGAGTTGGGAGGCTGAGACAGGAGGATCACAAGTTCAAAGCCAGCCTCAGCAATTTAGCAAGGCCCTATGCAATTTATGGAGACCCTTTCTCAAAATAAAAAGGGCTGAGCATATAGCTCAGTGGTAAAGCATCTCTGGGTTCAATTCCAAGAGAGGGGGGAGGGAGAGAAAGACAAGTCAAAATCTTGGCTATTAAAGTCACAATAAAATAAAACGTTCAGTTGTAAGTCTAAGAATACACCATGCTAAAGACAGAATCTTATCAGATAGTTGCTGGCCTTGAACATCAAGATTATATTAATGAAAAGAAAATAAGTAACCATGACCAGAATATACAAGAACTCTGGTGGAATATTAAAAGACCAAATTTAAGAATCATTGGATTGTTGGATGCAAGCTAACAGTATGGATAAGCCTCTTTAAGTAAATAGTAACAGAAATTTTTCTAAACCTTCAGAATAAGATAGACATCCAGATTCAGAAGGCATTCATAACCCCAAATAGACAAGATTAAAAAAGAAGCTCTCCATGTCACATTGTAATTAAAATGCCTAACATACAAAATAAGTATAGAATTTCTTCTTAAATATTTATTTTTTAGTTGCAATTGGACACAATACCTTTATTTCACTTACTTATTTTTATGTGGTGCTGAGGATCAAACTCGGGGCCCTGCACTTGCTAGGTGAGAGCTCTACTACAGCTGAGCTACAACTCCAGCCCAAGGATAGAATTAAAAGCCTCAAGAGAAAAATGTCAAGTCACAGAGGCAAGCTGAACAGCATTACATCTCATTTCTCAGCAAAAACTCTAAAATCTAGACAGACTTGGAATGATGTATTTCAAGCCCTGAAAAAAAAAAAATAACTGTCAACCAAGATTGCTATATCCAG